GCCTTTCTAATGGTTAGATTTCTCATTCTGTACAGGCCTCTGGAATGCTTCCCTGTGACTAGGGAATTTTTATTGCCACTGAACTGAGCTGACAAGCAGTATGATTATTTTTTCTTTTCTTCCTTTCTCTGGGGAAGTATGTATCTGATGATGAAAAGCAAATAGTTTTAATGAAAATTAGAAAGTTGGATTGCTGCCTAATTGCCAGTATGATATTTTTTCGTAGCAAGTTTGATTGCTTTTTTTTTTTTTAAACTTAACCCAGTTCCAGAATCCTGTAGGGTGCACAAGAGCAGACCAGCTGAAAGATGAATGTGAGTGCTTACTCCATGAGAGAGGCCAAGTGTACAAACTCAGCATGGTACAGGGCTGGCACAGCTGGACTGCGTCTGGCCTCCAGCTGAGAAATCTGCACCTTGTGTACCACCCTGGGAAGCCTTGGCCAGTAGCTCTCTCCTGGCTTGGGTATCTCTGTGCTGCACTCCCAGTGTGGGTTAGATGTACCCAACACTGATTCGCTAATCCTTATGTATAAGAAATGCTTATTGTTATTTTTCTTAAGCATATGAGATTTCCCGTTTTTCTCTCCAGGGGAGGAATTAAATAATTAATAAGTTGTTTTTCTGCTTTTATGTTTAGAGGCACTTTTGGCATATTCCAAGAATATCTTAAAAAATTAAAGCGAGGCAAAACTTTTTTGAAAGACGTGCAATTGTATTAGAAATACATCTTGTTCCAAAGTAGTAGACTGTAGAATTAGGTCAGGCACACCCTGCATACGCGTGTTTCCTGCTTGCTCATATTTCTGAGAATAATTGTACATGGGAATGTTTTTGTAGATTTAAAGGAGTGTTGTCACCTTAAAAATGAGTTGTTTGGAGTTTTATTTAAGTCATTGTGGTTACGCTGTGGTTTAGGAAGAGTGGAAGATTGGTGACTGTCTGATTCACTGCCTCAATGTGCTGCTGATCCTTCTTTGCCATTCGCAAACCGAGTGGTGAAGTAAGGTTACTCACTTCTACTATTTTTACTCTCATACAGCTTCCTCCCTGTCATGCCAGATGAGTGAAGCAGTGCATAAGCTGTTGGATGTTAACAGTAAAGAGCTTTACTTTTCAATGGATTTTGACAGCTCAGCTTTTCATTATTTTTCTTTGAAGTTTCTGTGATATTCTGTGAACTTGATACCTAAAATATTTTGTCATGGCTCTTAAAAAAAAAAAAAAAAATAATCCCAAGGGTAAGGAACAAGTGATACAATAAAAAGTGAGGAACCAGCAAGTCTGTACTGATCGGTTATCTTTTTGTTTAATAAAATGTCTTGTCTCTAAATGGGTTTTCTCTGCTGGACACGTTACTGCATTTCTTTTACTTTCTTACTACTTTCTTTTCTTTGCACACATCACCTATGTAGTGTTCACGTTGGTCTGTACAAGTTAAGCCATGCAGCTCCTTCCAGTAGCTGGATGAGAACTGTATGCTTTGTGAAGTGGGTTTGGACGTGCCTCAGATCTGTTAGGATGGGGAAGGATAATGTGCTGAAGATCAGCCCAGCCCTTTTTACTTCCCAGTACACTTCCCTTTTTTCCTAATTACATAGAGCAAGGATCAGCCTCTTCATCTCTGCAAAAGCATTGTATCATGAATTGTTTGTGCCAAATACGCATTGCTAAATAAAAATGTTTCCAATTTTTGTTTAAAAAAAAGTAAGTATCACTTACATATTTTTCTGTCAACAGTGTTGTCTCTAAACAAGTTCAAATAGAGGACTTCACTGTGACCATCAGCACGTGATGCTTGTTCAGTTGCATGGCTCATTCTTAACGTTGTGTTCTGGAGGCAGGAGGGACTTACATGCTCTAAACCAGCAGCTGGAGTCAGATGTGAATTTTGATTTTTTGACTGTGATACTGATTTCCTTAAAAAAAAAAAAAAAAAAAAAAAACAAAAAAACCACAACCCACAAATCCAAAAACCCAACACAGCCTATTTAGAGTGTTTTCTCTATATGAGTTTTCTAAGAACTAAATTTCTTTAGTGCTGGGCTTTTGATATTCGTGGTTCCCAGCTCCCAGAATCTGGCTATCCACAAGCTGTGAGTCTTCACCTCTGCAGGCTGGTCCCTACCTGGTCCTTCAGGATCTGAGCATACAAACAAGTTACTGTGAAGTGAGCTAAGAAGTCAAGGTGCTTGTTTACTGCTCTTGATCAATTCTGGGGTACCAGCCACTTTATGCTTACCAGAGGGTAGGAACGTGCATAGAAACAGACCTCAAAAGAAGATGGTAACCTGTTAGTATTTGTCCTGCTAACCACAGGGTGATTGCTGGTGCACGGCCAGGGAGCTTGAGTAGTGAACGTGCTAAAAGTCAGCGTAACACCTAGTTAGTGGGCATGAGACTTTGGCTGGCCCTGAAGATTATGTCTCTTTTTCTGTGTCCTTGTTCTCTCATAAAAGACTTCCCTGCAGTGCTTCCCAGGGCTGGTAGAAGGAATGAGCGGTTAGTATTTGTAAAAAGCTTTGAAGATGAATAGTGCTAATTATTATTTATAGGTATTCATTCTCACCACGGGTAGTTCACCTTGATCCTGGGCATGAAAGGAAACCAGGACATTTGTAAGCTGGTCAGGCATGAGTATGGCCTTCTGAAGTCTTTATGTACTAGTTTCCCTACTGGGTTGTATGTGTGATTGCATTATATTTGTCATGTTAAATGACTAGTTTGGCTATTTCTTTTACCAGGCACATGCGTTAAGAGAACCTTACTCATTTTCCTCAATTCTGCTGACACATAATGGGTAGGATTTGGGCATGCCAAGAGGCGACAGAAAACAGGAAAATGCCATTAGCCTGGCCCAAGTCGAATTCATCAGCAGGGTTGAACATTCAACTGTCTGTAGATTTAATGAGGAAAGTCAGATCTAATGCTTGTAAGAGCCACTACGATTGCAAAGAGCATCTGTTTCTGAATATTCCCATCTCTGCAGTTTTTAGCACCTTCCACTGGTGCTAAACTTGGTGTAATAGAAAAGAATGAGGAGAAGGGTGCCAACAGCTGGGGTTCTTTTTCCGAAAAATCCTGTTTAGCAGATTAAGCAGCGAAGGGTGGGGAGAAGATCAAGGAAAACTAGTGTAATGTAGTTCCTGCTTATCTGATAATATTTCTGTAAATAGTTGCTGATATATTGTAGTAGAGAACTCTGCTGAATGGTACGCGGGCTCTCTTGAACTGCGTGTGCATTTAATTCAAAGTTTAAGGTGATGAAAAAAGATTGATTGTCAAGTTAGAGATGCTGCATTCATCAAACCCAGTTTGACTGTTGTGAAAATTCAGTCTGAAGGCGTTTCATGCTGTTTGATATCACTTAAATATGGCTTCTAAGGCAGACCTCTTGTGAAGTTATGGAGTGTAAGTGTCCCTTGTTAAAGCTGCTCTTTGCCTGGATATAAACTGTTTGTTGATCTGACTCCCTGCTTAAATTTTCCTCTGTGCTAAGTAATGTATTAAATAATTAAGAGATTGTTCAGACAGTGCAAGGGGAGCTTACTGACAGGACTGCTGCAATGGAACACTCTTGAAAAAGAGGCCTAAGAAGTAAATTTTATGCTTACCAGGTTTTCTTAATAGAGTTCTTGTCAGCTCACAGAGCAAAGTCTGTTCCAAGCAAGTGTGTTAGGATCTCAGTTTTATCAGAGAGCTTGTTTCTATATGGAAGAATTGGAGGGAAAAAAGAGTTCCTGAGACTCAGCCCAGTATGTTGTTTGTGTTCCTCCCAGCGATTAGCCAGTCTCAAGAACAACTCCTCTTAAGGGCTTTCCCAAGATAATTAATTGCATATCCTCTCAACAAAGATTTTTATTTTCCCCATCTCAAAACACTTTTGCACAAGTAAATCAAACTACAGTTTAAAAAAAATATTATTTTGGCTTTCTGTGCAGGTACCAAGCTTTAAAACGTTTTGGTCAAAAGGTATAGCACAATTATAATGTATGGAATGCACTGAATGTGTTTGAAACAACAGTGTTTGTTGTATAAATAGTTTAGAAATTCCATTTCCTCACAATAATTACAATAGGCTACATGAAATAGAAGAATAGTTGACTTTTTATTGTTCCATTTGACATTGTCAATTGAGGAATTGATTTAAAAGCTCTTCCCCCCCCCCCCAGGTGTTGTACAGTATGTGGGTTTGCATACTTAGGTTTACTTTAAACAGTATTTTCTACATATTCTGTTTACTCATATAGAACATTTCCGGGGTAGTAGATTTGTCCTGAAGTTGTATGAATGGGGCAGTTGGTATGTTCTCTTTAGATACTGGGGGCTCCCCACACCCATGTCCTACTGCCCAGCAGCCTCCTGGCCTTTCTTACAGCCCTTTGCTGCTCTGATGCACAAGAGAAGAGGGCAGAAGATTGCAGAGGTTTATTTCCGAGGAGTTTGGATTGCCCTTTGCTCAGGCAAAAGGGGATGGATTTGTTCATGTGTGACCAAACACAGGGCAGTGTTCACGGGGACTGTTGGGGTGTCTGGTGGGACTGAGGAGGGGATCTCTCCAGGGTCCAGGCAGCCAGTGCGGTGGGTCCCAGAAACAGCCTGGAAAGTGGCAGGAGAGGGAGTTTTCTGAGCCAACGTTGGGTGTTTGGTGAGAGGAGAGGTGCATAGTGATGCACTGTGTGCTGTCAAGTTTGCTGGAACTAAGGTGGCCCTTGTAGGCTCCTTGTGTTGCTGTTCCTACCAGCCAGCCAGAGCCTTTAAAAAAGAGGAAAAAAAACACAGTAGCTTTTTACATGCTGTTGCCAAAAATCTTCTTTCTGATGAAGATCACATGATGCGTAAGCAACAGATATTCTAAAAATATACAGATATAATAATACTGGCAACTTATTATTTGTTTTATGGAACAAGAGGAAGGATTTGTTATTCCTTTTCTAAATTTCTAATTAAGAATGAAATGCTTGTGCTGACAGCCAGTAATGATGGGCTTGAAACCCACCACTGAACTGCTCATTAAGGCCTTCATCCTCAGCAGGTCCTGACCAGCAAATTTGCCAACTCTTATTTGGCATTTTGTTGTTTTATTAGTGCTGTATTTTATCTGGTTCGTATCTAGCCGTGTCCGTGTTCTGCCATGCTTTATAGATGGCATCCATGGGCCCTGGATCTTAATTCAGCCAAGAAAAAGACACAGGACAATTGTTCTGCAGGGGGGAAATTGGGAAAATTCATTAATGAGGAAATTGGTGGTTTATGTTTGAGAGAGTGAAAGGCAAACTCTTCAAGCCAAGAAAGGAGAGCTGTTTCTTGTCCAAGGCAATAGCAGGACAAACTACATGCCAAAGAGAGAGTGAGGGAAAGAGGCAGCCAAAGAGAGCTGTTAGGAGATACAGAGGGGCGAAGTGGGACTTAAAGATAGGAACGGGGAAGAAAAATTTCACTTAAGGGTGAAATCTCCAAACAGAAATAATGGAAGATGTCTCTGTGTGTATGCTGTAAGAACATTTGAGATTTGAATGGCCAGTGGATGCGAGGCTGCTGCAGTCATGGCCATGCTGTGTGAGAGGAGTATTTCTTGTAGGACTGTAAGAGTGGGGTGAGCACTGTATGACAGGAGGGGGCTAAATCAAGAAAGAGGAAAAGAAAAAAAGCAATGACTGGGAATAGGGAACCTCCTAGTCAAACCTCAGAGTGGTTAAGAGGCAGTGCCTGAGGTGTTAACTGGGAAGATGTATATTGGGCTGTTGCCAGGTTACAGACCTCATCTTGCCAGTGCTGGAATCGAGAAGTATGTAAACGATTTTGAAGGGCTCTGGTTGTCTAGATCACACATGTGATCTAAAGATGTCAGGGGCTTTAGACTTACTTTTAAAAAAGCAAAGGTTTATAGATGAAATAGACCCCTGGTTACTTTAAAATCCTTTTTTCCCCCCAAAGCCCTGTATCTGAAGAAATGCCTCTTGAGCCTGAGGGACTTTGCTTGCAGTATCAGATAGAGGGATTTGAGCTTCACTGCTTGGGACTTTCTTCCAAAACTAACAACCTGGTATTTTCTCTCCTAGCTCTTCCCTTAGGAAACGCAGCCACCTCCTCGCATCACGGAGGCCCAGCATGAATGTTAACTGTGCTGGTGGGACAGACTGGTCAAGAAGTCTGGAGTCCAGTTGCTCTGTGGAAAACATAACTGTAGCAGTCCATGAGTCAGAAGAAAGTAATGTGGTGCTAGGAGGTCACAACCCTGCTGCAGTTCCCAGGACTGAGAGTAAGGATAGTATCTTTACATTGTGGTAATCTTTAAGGGAGATTTTTTTTTTTTTGAGAGGTGTTGTTTTGGAAAAATTCTAGTATCCCAAAGCAGCTTACACTGGGGAATACATACCCTGCCTTTGCCAAACCGATCTGAAGAACAACAGTCCACAGCAGAGTTTAGGGTCTTGCTGTCTTGGCAGGATCACCGCATGGGTACGTCCTGGCTGGCCAACTTGCAGCTCCTCCGGGGGTTGTCCTGAGGTTGAACAGATGAACTGAAAGTAGCTGGACAGTCCTGATGAGCTGGGTGCCCACTATGGACCAGGCATCAAGCGCTGCTGGTTTAAACCACCTCCAGCATGGTGTGTGCTTCTGCTCCAGCTTCCCTGCGAGAGTACTTGGCAGTGCTGGCAATCTGTGTCCGTCTTTCTGGCCTTGTTTAATTCCTGTGCTCCTGCTCTTAACACACTGAATGTCTTGCTTTATCAAGGAGTATTAAGCATTGAGGTTCATTGGAAATTTTTTTTATCCAAAATCCAACTGCTGGCTCAGTTTGAAAATAGAGTCTAGTTTCATGTCAGATAACATATATCAACATCCCTTGTTATTGTGTGGCTGTTATTACAGTAGGAAGTGTTGCTATCAAATTATGTTTTCCAATAAATTATATTTTCAATAAATTCTTTTTTTCAATAAATTATTTCTTACCCTTGCAATATTTGTGTGTCTCAGGTTTAGATTCTGATTGTCGACACACTGCTTATCCAGTAAGTCCCCAGATCAGTAGCATGTTGTCTGCTCCTGAAGACACGCACAGTTGTCATTTCCAAGAAGGAAATAAGAGACAGTCAGAATATTTTAATACCCCGGAACGCCATGGATGCTGCGCTTTGTCTTCAAGCAACAATTCACAAACAGTTTCTGCAGAGAAAGTGACACTTGTGGTAGATGGCACTCGCTTTGCAGTGAATCCACAGATTTTCACTGCTCACCCTGATACTATGCTGGGAAGGTGGGTGATTTTCACTATTTTCGAGATATCTCAAGGGGGTCAAATGTTTGCTAAAATGGAACCAATTCCCAGTGTTTGTTTTGCAATCTCATCTCTTTGCACAAACAAAGCAAGGTTGACCTCATTCAGAGCTTGACTGTGAGGCCTTGAAAACATGACCAGATGTAGAGGGAGTTGGTAGTTCTCTAGATAACATTCTCCCTTTCATTCAGTTCCTTCAAACAATGTGCACTTTTAACTAGACGTGGTCTCCTTTTGCCTTCTCTCCAACTGTTTGCCTTGTTTGTAAGTAGTACATCTGTTCAGAGCTGATAGCCTCGGTTCCAGAATGAGGAAAATAATAATAATGCTTCATCCCCCTCCTGCTCTTATCTTTGGATATACTTTACTGAAAGAGAAGTTACTCAGCTCCCTGTAACATGGCTCAAAGGTTGGAGCCTATTGGTGCAGCAAGAAGCACTCATTTTCTGTATTGCCAGCACTTCCACCCATCTCTGACCGAAGGGAGACAGGTTCTGTTGGGTTACTGACTCTTGCATGGGTCATTGTGTAAAACAAGAGGTCACAGGGCGTGTGGCGGGTATCTTGTATGGCCTCAGCAAAAGGGCTTTACTGCCAGGGTATTTTCTCGCCCAGGCTTGCATGGTCTGTTCCTTTGAGCTGTGGCTTGTTCCATACCATGCAGCTATAGTGACAGACAAAGCCCAGCTATAGGCGGACTTGGCTGAGACAGCTCTTGTGCTTATTTACGGTGTAAGAGATACGAGTATAGGATTGAAGTTACTGTATGTAAGTGTCACTGCTGATTTCGTTTAACCTCAATGCACCTACTGGTCTCTAGAACAAATGCATTTAAATATACTTGTGCACTTACCTAGATTTTTATTTGTTCAGAATGTTTGGACCAGGAAGAGAATATAATTTCACCAGGCCAAATGAAAAAGGAGAATATGAAATCGCAGAAGGAATTAGCTCAGCTGTATTCCGGACTGTGCTGGTAAGGAGATGTTTGAAACTGAAAAGAAACCGATCTGTTTGTCACATGTGCAGAGCTGAGCCATCTCCCAGGCAGCTGCACACCCCCTGGGACATATTCTTTTATTACTGTTTTGCATTGTGATTTTTTTTTTTTTTTAATATTATAGTAGACTTTGGTATGAGTCAACATTTCAGCTATTTGCTAATGTTGCCTTTTACCTTTCATGTGTCACGCCATTGTAGTTCCTGAGCTGTGTCCTGACCTTGTGGTTGCATATAAATGCATATTGCATATGAGATGTTATGAAACCCAATGCCATGGGAAAAGTTTTAACTGGAGCTCACCGTTTATCAGACCCAAGAGGATCTGCAGAGAGACGTAGATTCTTGGACAGGCAGGGCTGGTTTTACTGTTCGCAGAGCTATATATAGCCTCTACTCTCAGATGGTGGTTAAGAAAACAAAGAGCTAATTAAAAATTACCAGAGTCCAAGATATTCTTAGTTTTTCTCTCCAAAAACTGTCCTTTTATTTGCAGGATTATTACAAAACCGGAATCATTAACTGTCCTGATGGGATTTCCATCCCAGACCTTCGAGACACATGTGATTATCTCTGCATAAACTTTGATTTCAACACAATCAAATGTCAAGATTTAAGTAAGTATGGAGAGAAATCAGCTCTTAGGAGATCATCTGCATGATGTTGAGCACTCTGGTCCTGATTTGGTGCAGTTCGCTTTAATTTAAGTGTGAAGGTGTGGACCCTGGTAGGACTCGCGGATTGTTGCATTTAAACAGCTTCCTGAAGTGGCTGAATCCTGCAGAATGCAGACGCCTTGCTCAAAAAATCAAAGTGAAATTGTAAAAATTCTAGTCTCCTCTTGTAACAGAGGCTGAGAAGAAGAACTTGCTACTACAGCCGAACAAAATGAAGGCTAAAACCAGGGTTATAACTCATATCTAAAATTTACCAGGGAATTATGAATAATTTAAGATAAAGGGTGATGAGCAGAGCAGGAACCAAAGATACCAGAGTTGGAAAGTAGCAGAGAGTTCCTAGTCATGAAGGGATCTGATTGGGAGCAGATTTTTGGTGGGTATGCTGGCAAAAAAGTACTTTTAATATAGGTAAACCTGTGAAAGGTCCTACAGTGAAATGGGGTATATGGTATCATAACACAGCTGTGGGTGGAATTTCCTACCCTGTCCTCTGAGGAGTGATCACAAAGAAGGCAGAAAATTTCAAGGACAGAGTTTGTTGCTGAAAATTCAAGTTAAGTATCATAATTAATTAATTATTCAGTCTATTACTGTTTCACTGTATTGATTGGACCTTGGTGATTTTTTAATGATAATGGAATGGTTTTACAGTGTAATTTGCATCCCATTTGAAATGCAGTCTCATATATCTGATTTTGCCATTTCAGGAGCTGAAGACTATTGATATATCTAAAGAATGTGAAATGTGCTCTTGAATGTGTCTGGAAAATGTAGACATATTTTCATACTGTGTAAAAAAGCTCATCCTGTGATTTATGTCTCGTTAGGTGCTCTGTTACACGAGCTCTCCAATGATGGTGCTCACAAGCAGTTTGATAGCTACCTGGAGGAGCTGATTCTGCCTATAATGGTGGATAGTGCAAGGAAAGGGGAACGTGAATGCCATATTGTCGTGCTGACAGACGAAGACACCGTGGACTGGGATGAAGATCATCCACCTCCGATGGGAGAGGAGTACTCACAAAGTAAGAGCACTACACTGGGGCTCCTGGCTCTGTGTTCAGCCCCCACCTGGCCATTAGGAAAGGACCCGTTGCCCAAACAGCAGTCTTCCTCCAGGAAGAGATGTTGGACGTGGAATCGTGTTTTATACGTTCCTACTACAACTCCCTGAAAGGAGGTTACAGAGAAGTAGAGATGAGTCTCCTGAACCAAGTTCCAGGCCCAGAGGGAATGGCCTCAAGCTGCCTAGGGCAGGGTCAGGCTGGCTCTGAGGAAGGATTTCTGTGCAGAAGGGGCTGTTGGGCGTTGGAATGGGCTGCCCAGGGCAGGGGGGAGTCCCCATCCCTGGAGGGGTTGAAGAGTCGGGCTGAGCCAGCGCTGAGGGATCTGGGGGAGTTGGGAACAGTCAGGGGGAGGGTCATGGTGGCACTGGAGGAACTTCAGGGGCTTTTCCAACCAAGATGATTCTGGAATTCTGAACTGGCTGCTGCTAGAGGCAGGATAGCTGGCTAGTTAGAGCTAGCATTGGTAGTGACAGCACACACTGCATCTTTTCCTTTTGTTTGTTACCTCCCCCTCAGCCTTTTCCTTACTCCCTACTGAGTGAATATTCTGCTTTCCCCACCCATCACCATCCATTCTACCCAGACTGTAATGTGCCTCACTGCCCTCTCACCACAGAAGTGCAGCTAACCCCAGTGATGAGAACAGACACCTGAAGTAGTTCTTGGAAACCAACCTGCTTTTGGCACCCCAGTGGCTGAGCATGTCAAAACGGGTAGAAGGTCCCTCCTTGCAGATTGTAATCACCCTTTTTATTTCTCAAGTTCTTTACAGTTCCAAGCTGTACAGATTCTTCAAGTACATTGAGAACCGTGATGTTGCGAAAGCTGTATTAAAGGAACGGGGCCTGAAAAATATTCGCATTGGCATTGAAGGTAAAATATTTCTTCAACACAGGAAATTCTAAAACAGGTGCCTCGTAGTCAGTAAAGCCTGGTTTCCTCTGGACTCTAGGCATTTCCTGTTTTGCTCTGGTTTAGTAAGCATTTATTTTCATGAAACTAGTAGAAGCTGGGCATGTTCCTTCACCTCTATCATGTTATACTGAAATTGGCCAGGAGGCTTAAAAGTTAAAGGAAAGTGGAAGATATGTAGCACGTACCAGCAAGTGCCTTGTCTCTTTAGGACCGAGTAAACAGGAAGCAGGAGTCAAACACTTCAGCCTGCTGATCCAAGCATTCCCTTAGGGAGCTCAGAGAACGTTGTGCTTGGTCCTGGGAGACTGTCTTATTTTTACAGGAGCTGTGTTTGCTCACAAAGTGGCTAATGCTGTGCCACTGATCGTATGACTACACACAATGCTGCACCCTCTTTTCAGGGAAAGAGCGAATGGTCTTTTGCAAGCTAATAATGATAAATGTGGAATGTGAGCATTTGTCTACTGCCCCCCCTGACCCCACAGTCACTCCTACCTGGCTGTTCTTCCGCAATCCTCTTGTCCCTTTGTACAAGTCAGAGGTGTGTAGTGCAACTGACTGGCTGTCTGTGTTTTCAGGATATCCCACCTGTAAAGAGAAGGTGAAGAGGAGGCCTGGTGGCCGGTCAGAAGTGATCTACAACTACGTCCAACGGCCGTTCATCCAGATGTCGTGGGAAAAGGAAGAGGGCAAAAGCCGTCACGTTGATTTCCAGTGTGTTCGGAGCAAATCTCTAACAAACCTAGTCACTGTGGGGGATGACGTTTCAGAGGACCATGAGGTTATAATGCATCACCCTCCACAAGTAGATGAACTTGACAGGCTAAACTCACCGTTCTCCCAAATGGCTGTTAACGATCTACCAGATTAGTCCTGGCTCAGGGTGGATAGTCCTGCTTGGTGTGGGAATGTCTCAGCATAGTTTCATCCCAGGTGATGGAACACAGACTCCTGCAAGGTGCTTTATCCTCGTTGATGCTCTTACTACATTGTCATATTTCAAGCATGTTAATAAAGAGCCACACTCCATAGTCTAATTGTGCAATCAAAAGCAATGTCTCCTCAAACAAAAAGAAATTACGCTGTTTGTTTCTACTACAAAGGCTTCCAGGTTGGTGGGTGCTGAATATTTAACCTAAACAACTAAAAGAGGACCAGAAGTATTTAGAAACATCTTGTTTGACATGAGAGAGGAAATTCTGGGCCTGTCAAGACAAAGCTTTCCTTTACCATCAGGCACTTAGCTTTGCTTTTGTGATAATCCGTTACAAAGGACTGAACGCCAAAGCAGGACAGATGATCCTCTTTCATCAACCAGCAGAAATGTAGCACAGTTGTGATAGCAAAACACTGAATGTGGAGGAATGACAGCAAAATCCTGAGTGTGGAAGAATCTGTTTACACTGCCACCTGGCTTTGCATGCAGCATGTTGTGCTGCTGTTCTAGGGAAGGATGAACTAGCTCAACAGGAAGCATATGCCTGTTCACAGGAGTTTCCCATATATATTTCGCTAGGAGGTGGAATCACTGTTTTTAAGGATGTTGCCTGTTCAGTAAAACAAGTAGATCATGCTGAAGGAAAAAGCAAAACGGAAGAGACTGTAGTTGATATTTTACCAATAAAGTAAATCTGTTTAGTAGCCTAATAGATGTAAGAAGCTTTCTAGAGGTGACTGTGCATGCTAAAGACTTTCAGTTGTCTCTTCCATCTCCCTGCTAAGAAAAAAAAAAGCCAGTGGAGGAGCACCCAGTACAGACAGCTTACTACCTGAGTAAAATCCTTGGTCTCATCAACCTTAGTCAGTCAGAAATCCTGTAGACTCTCCAAGGAGCACTCCACTGTTGCAGCTTTAAAAGACCGGCTACTTTCTTCCCAAGTTGGAACTGACTGGAGCATTTTGCTGTCAGGCAGGTGAGAAATAACAATAGTAAAGCAGCTTTCAGTAGAGAAAAATAGACATACCTGGGAACAACTCTGCTTTGTTGCTCTGAATAGATTATCTTCGTCTGTGGTTAAGGCACTCTGTTCATTTTGGATCCAGGGCCAACAAAGCTGTGACTGTAAGCATAGACACGCTCCGGGCTGGTTTAGCTCGGTTATGTTAGAGCCTAACTGGTCCTGTTCCTGCTGCATGGAGTTACCTGTAGGCTTGCTTAACCCCCTGATTAGCCCAGAGTGAGCTCAGCACTGCCACAGCCAGGCTGCACGTTCAGCCAGAACGGACCTGCCTTACAAAGCTGTCGTTTCTGACGGCTGTGTGGAGGTTTTACATACCCAGAGCAGAGTTCTTAAACGTGGTGCTGGTGCAAAGAAAAGCTGAAGCCTGTTCAAAAAGAAAGAGAGGGAAATTGTTCCCTTGCAATGTTTTTAAGTCCAGATCAGTTCTGCTCTTGCAGCTGGCTGCTGTTGAAGCCTGTACCACTTACGTGTTGAGTTAACCTGGTTATACTTGGCAAAGTAAAGGGATGTATCAGCCTGCCCCTAGTAGGTTTAATCCTTTGTTGTCAGGGTTGCATCATCAATCAAATCTTTACTATTCTCCCATCTGTCTGGTAGACTTAGCATTAAAGTTTGCTGTTACTGTTTGCTGCTAAGGATGTTTTGTTTTTTCAGGGTAAGTAACAATGATGATATCAAGCACAAATTTTCCTGAAGGTTTATGAGTGTCATTTTAGTTACGAGTAACAAAATCTCTGCCAAGGCATGTACTTGCTGATATATTTAGCTCCCATTTGTATGGATACAGGTTCCATTCTTTGCAGTATTTCTTTTCTTGGCTTCTTTCCTAAGTGCAGCAAATAGCTTTCTTCTTTTTGTAAGTGCCTATGGGAAGATTTCCAAAAGTGCTTCAGGACCTCCTGAGAGTCCCAGGGGTTCAGATGCCCAGGTCCACCTGACTGCTTTTGAAAAATCCTCCCTGCGTGTCATTGGATCACTATAGAGAAGTGTCCTTCAGCATCTGCACAGAGATGGTGTGCAATCACTTTCCATTAGTGCTCTAGATTAATTTCTATTTTTGTAGCAGAGAAAGGAAGACATATGGACCATTAACCTTCCAGCTAAGGGCCAGATCCAACCCATTACCTGCCTTGGTAATGAGCTGTTCCCACAAGTCAGGCAAAGGCACTGGCGAGGCCGTCTCCCTGGCATTGCCCCCAGGACCTATGGATTTTATTTCTTTTTTTTAAATGTGTATTTATTTTTACGGCAGTGTAACTTTTAAGTAAATGTGTATTGGTATTGACCACCTGGCTTGGAATTGGGAGTTTACACATGTCCTGCTCCAAGGCCCTGATGTGTTGAGTGCTAACCTGCAGGACTGTGTCAGGGCATCAGAGACTGAGCATCTGCTATCGATGGCACCTCATGGGATCTGACAGCTCAGCCAAACCTAACCCCACCAGTGGGGCTGTGCCCTGGGTTAGTTTGGCCTCTCAAAGGATTCAGCCAGTTTATTAGAAAGGGTGACCACAGGTACTTACTGCAGCTGGCCATTGCCTGAGGGTTAAAGACTGTTGGTGCCTTGTAGGAGCTTGTTGGGACTCTAATCAACTGGACCTTCAGCATGGGATGGAGATACCAGCTGCCATGGTTTCCATGCAGTTTTTATCACTCCGCACAGCCTGATGTAGTTTATTGGCTTTCCTAAGTAATTAAAAGGTGGATTTTGAATTTTATTTTTTTGTGAAGTGAGTTCCACTGAAACTACATCGAATTGAAAAAGTATGTATTTGCTTTTCCTCCATCTCTCATGGTCACCTACTTCAGGTACAATGTCAAGTTTTGTCTTATTCTAGATATACTGAAGTGTTACCTGTGGTGTGTACAAACTACAGATATATGTTTTTTTCTGTATTAAAGTATAAATTATATGTGGCTTGTTTGGTGCTCTCAAAAATTGTTTTAAATGTGGAGTAAAAGAATGGGCAGGGGATTTTGTTTCCTTGCATCATAAAATGAGTGTGGCTTGTGATCACCAAGTCTTAAAAGTATTTTGCATCAGACAGAGCCTGGTTGTTTTGGCAGGCACCCTCTAGAAGTGTTGGCAGCATTTGTGCTGAGAACACCTCAAAGTTCACCAACTCACTGCAGTGATGTTCCAAAAGCATCACTGAGCACAGGTATGAGACAGCCCTATTTAACACACAAACTGCAGCATCTCTAACAGGCCCTAGAGCTATTTTTGATTAGTATGCTGTGAAAGATGCCTTCTGCTTATAACTACTTCTGTCTTTAGAAGAAAACAGCTTTGGAATGGGTCTGGCTTTTATTTCCATCTTCAGGGTGGGAGGTATTTAAAGGGTTTTCTTGATGAAGCTTGAGAAAGGTGTTAAGAGTTTGAAGAAGGTAGAATTCAGTCATTCCCTTAAAGTGATAAAAATTTGTACTCACAAGTGGAGCTGTCACAAATCTGAAGCTATGAAATAAAAGCTGCAACTTGACTTTGTCCTGTTACAAACTGGTAGTAAAAAAATGATCATAGCTTTGCTTCCAATGACACTTGCTCACTGCTTATTATCCCTCTAAAAATAGAAAAAGATTAACAACAACTTGCCCTGAAGTTGGTAAACTGAAGGGACATTTACACAATACAGACTCAGGCCTAGGTGTAAGGCCAGGATCATCCACCCAGGCCAGGCATGTTCTGCCAGAAAGATTTAATTCTTCTGAAGATCAGCCCTGTCTTTCACCTTTAACAGGGGGCCCCATGCCTTTTGGAAATGTCTTCAGCCCCCGAGTTACCACTGCATTCTCATACCTAAGCAGCTGATCCTGAAATCACTTTTGAAAAAAAGCTTTTTGTTTTTAGAACCAGTTCGTAAAAACAAAACATGCTAGCAAACATGTGTTTACTAAGAGGGTTTTATTTACACAACACAATGCAAAGATAATTCCATAAAAAGTTGGCTCCCCCAGCAACACACAACACACCTGCCAAATTTTACAGTGCAATTTAGTAACAGCTTTTAAATATTTACAGAACACTTTTTCAGCTTACAGGTTAAGGCAGAGTCAGGGCACAGTGATAAGAAACACTTAGTGCAGTTTTGTGCTAGGCATGATACAGAGATGACCTGGCAGCATAACTCATGTTCAGATCCATTAGAAATTCAGTTTGGAATTACTGCTAGAAGTCCAGCAACTGCTTGCAGCTTTAAAAAAAAAAAGAGCTAAAAGATACATACAACCTCAATACACAAGCCAGCAGCTAGGAAAACTGTTTGGCTAACATGGGAGATGGAACAGGCATACCAAAAAAAAAAAAATCTGTTAGCAGTGAAGTATGGATCCTGGAAAGAAGACACTGTACTTTTTTTTTGTAGTATTGGTGAAGAGCTGTAATAGAAAGCAGGCTTACAATGCAAGTGTGACACAAAACTTACTGCTGGAAAGGTCTGTCCAAGAGGACTCAAAACATCCAACTTCTACTGAAAGACAACAGGAGTGAGGTACCCAGCTGCTCCTTATGCCTTTGAAAAACTTCACCTTCAACTCAACAAGTGAACAGTCTGAGGTTTCAGAAGACTTTAAAACACACGCACTAAAAATGCACAATACATATTACTATATAGGTTTTTTTCACAGCAAGTTATCACAACTTGTAATTGTTTAGCTTCTTCATCTTTGGTATTTATAAATAAAAATGCCAGTCCCTTTTGGAAAAGGGCTATAATGCAGCTACTATCTCAAAATCATTTATTCCTAATCCACAGCAGCTTCAAAGGACTCTGATATTTTGTATTATTATTAAGGCAGTAACTAAGCTGTTTAGAATTAAAAAAAAAAATGTTTTGATATTAATACCTCTTAGTTTTCCACTGGTTTATAAGGCAACATTTTCAAATGGCTAGAAGAAACTGCAGGATAAGGAGATGGAGCAATCTGAGAAGTTGGTATCAGTCCTTCATAAAAAGGGAGAAGGTGATATTGCTGACTAGCTGATGACAAGCCTGATCCTATAAATCATTACTTCAGTTAGCCCTTATTCTTCTGAGTAAGCCCTACTGACTACAGTGATCCTGGTACTTCTAGTTAAGGCTAGTTTTGCATTTCAGCTTTGTAGGATCCAACTGGTGTCTAAACTGCTTATGGCAATTCATTAAGTGTCTAGGACACACACAAAAAGCACAAGGGGTGGTTAGGGAGAGGATGCTAAGGAGTTATCACCCAGTTTTAGCTATACAGGGTACTTTCAATCCCCCCCCAGTCCTTCATGATGGCACTCAATTCAGAAGACATCTAAATAAAAATTCCCTAAAAGCACCTATTAAAAAAAATAAAAAGTTTCACTACAAACCATTCTGGTTTATTTCCTAATAACTGAAAGCCTTCCTTTTACTTTGAAACACAGCTCAAGATTTGTTTCTAAACAGCTTTTTTTTTTTTGTCTGTGCTATGTAGTTAGTGTTCAGCACCAATAAAAGTTTGCAAGTATCCAAGACAGTTAAAATTGATACATTGATTTTAGAAACCTCATTGTATTTTTTTTTAATCTAATTAAAGACTGGAACCAGGCAGGCCGAAAGGTTACCACCACCTGCCCCTGGAAGTGCAGAGTTAAGTACAAAACAGGTGCAAAATGGTTACAAAAAGGAATTAGCAAAAGCTCAGCCGAGGGAGAATCCTCCTTCCCAAAATTCAGTCATGCTCCGAGAGATGCTTAGGCAAGGAAAGGCACTTTGGGGCTCTCCTGGAGAGCATCCTTGATCATAACTGAATGTACTTTTATGAATTACACTAGGCAATAATCAAGAGTGGACAGGGTGGGGTTCCACTGCCCCAAAAGTGACCCCACGAGGCACCGTCTTTTCGGAAGACAACAGGGACAGATGGTTCAGCCGTGACAGCAAGAGCAGCTCTGTAAGGAAAAGCCAGGGATGCCTCCATCATCAGGACTCAAGAATCTGATACTCTTCTGCTCAAAACCATAAGCAACAAGGCCACAGAAGATGGTTTTGTTTTTAAACCGATGAACATGCAGCAGCTCTCAGAAGTGACCAAAAGATGGCAGCAGCAGGACCGGGAAGCCTCGGGGCTGACCCAGCTGTACACAAGGTGCCCAACCAAGGATCAGGTTGAATGAATTTCACTCCCTCTCTGCCCTAATTCCAGATTTACTTGTGTTACCAGCTGTAGTTTTTATTATCTGCATTGTTTACAGATCCATCCTTTCATACAGTAACTGGAAACTGTTGGCGCTTGGTGGAGGAAGTGGCCGTTTCTCCTATCACTGTCTAGAAAAGAAAAAAAAAAAGTGTTGCACAATTTTTTAATTTAGAAAAAATACTAAATGGCTTGAGGGTCACTGTCTTAGTACCAAAAGTAAAGTGCACCACAACTGGAGACCACTGTGACACAGTTGAGAAATGCTATTAAAGAGGCTTCCAAGTAGCATTATAAAAAACAGCACTACAAACTAAGGTTAAGGCAATACAAGTTGTGTCCTTCTACTCGATAGTTTACTGTTGTCTATCTCAAGCTTTAATTATTGCTTTGATTCCTCTGTACTGAAGTCCTTAGCCACTGGGAAAACAGTGCTGGCAGAATTGGCAGACTGAGTTTGTCACTTAATGCCGGACTGGCAAAACAGTCCCTATGAACACCACGTGCTTTGCAATGTCAGAGTGAAGGCTTGCTCTCATCTCCTGATGGACTGTACAATCTGGCAAAGAATTTAAAAAGAAACCAAACTCTCGCTCCTGAAGCAGCAAAACATGCTTGCAGCAGAGATGGCGCAAACATTTTGTGGAATTTTTCAATGGCGCATAAAGAATAAATCCTTAGTAGCAACCAGGGTGTGTAACAAAGCAGGGTCCTGAAGTCTTCTCCAAGAGTTGATAGCCCTCAAGTTTTGTTTAAAAAAAAAAAAAAAAAAAGTTCTGTTATGAGTATAAACCCAAAGTACAGGAAGAGAATTCCATGTCTCAGAAGTCGTCCCAGGTGAAGATTTATTACTTTCCTGCTTTCATATAGGATGGTATTGCTCCTCGGGCTGTCAGACCTTCAAAACGCTTGTAGGTGTAATTGATAAAAACCCAGTCTTTGTTCTTGTAGTCAGTCTCTGGATGGTTGCTTGTTGCCACTGATAAGGCACAAAAAAATAGAATTACCCTTTGAAGACTGAGAAGTTTATTATCATACAAAACAAGGGACATGGAGTAGGGGAGAATGCTTCTAAAGAAAGAAATAGTATTTGGTTTCATTCTGCAATCCCAGTCAGGAACTGCTGTAATGGGGTTTTTTTAAACACACAGAGAAAATGTGTGACTATGCTTTGACACATAAATACAAGGATCCTCTAGAGATTTACACCCAAACGTATCACCCCCTTCTGTGCCACCCTCTCCCTACCCTCTATACTGCATTAGCCACGCTAGCAAGAACTAGCCAGCACCATGGGGTCCTCGCAGTGTTGGGCTCACAGGTCCTGCTGTGATTTGGACCTGCCAGGAGCTCTTAGAGATGCCCCTCCTCAGACAACTCCTGCATCCCAGCTCCTGAAACCCAAACTACAGCTTGCACACCCCTGCACCATAAGGCTACCAGCTAACAATTTGATCGTGATTTAAAAAAAAAAAACAAAAAACCACCTTAGCATCAAGCAAGATCCTTTCTCTGATGAACTGGAAAGTTACATTATTCTACTGGAGAAGAGGAAGGATTGTTTACATGCAGAATCAAAGCATTTACCTGTTGGTTTAAGGATATCAGATTCTGGAAATTCATCAAAGTTTGAGGTATCATCGATGCTTTTAATTTCTATTGAAATTGCAGCAGGTCTCTCTCTGCCAAGAAGAGCAGTTTCAGCATTAAGATTTCAAAGGCAGAAGAAAGCAGGATTCAGCCACTTTCCATTTCTTAACAGAATCAAAGACTGAAGGTACCTAACCCTTAGCAAGCTTCAAATAAGGAACAAAACACTCTCACCCACACCTAGATATAATAAATGCCAGTCAAGCTGCTCCCTTCTGTTGAACAGGACTAGCTTTAAACAGTCCACAGAGAAGAGCAGCTTGCTTTTCTGCAAAGCATCTTACCTGATATGCTCCCAATCAACCCCTTCAAAGAATGGGTTACTCTTTATTTCCTCCACACCAGATGCACCAATTCTGTGCTCCCATTCACAGCAAAATCTGGGATGGAAGGAAGAATGAAAATGAAGGAAGAATGAAAATGAAAGCGTTCCATGCAGAAATGGAACAGCTTTCTGAACTGCTACTACTACAGTTTCTTAACATATAAATGGCGAAGGTTAAGAACTCCCACTGCAAAACCAACACACAAATTTATGCTTGGGAATGTCATGTCAAATGCTACAATTAAGATGTGGTATTCTTTCACAACAGGATAATGTGCCCTTTCTATTTCAGGACCAGTGTAGAGCAGGAGAACATATAAAGCCTAAAAAGCTAGACATTTATATTTCTGTCCTGAGAATAGATAAGTGACTGGAAATATAAATGAAAGAGCAAGAATCAGCGCACACTGGGATACATTTGTATGCTGCAGTGCATACAATGTCAAAACCACTGCTACTGTAAGCAGCTAGCTCTGGCAAAATGATTAAGTTGCTTCCACAGGAAGCTCCCAGACAAAATAATGGAGCAGAAACATTTGTATTTTGCCAGACTAGCAGCACTTACGTGGCAGCTCCTTTTTAGCACAGATCTGTCGGGGCTCCACTAAACGACCTCCGAGAGACAAATGTCTTTGACTAGGGAGTTCACTTGATGCATGTGCATGTATGTAGCTGTCACAAGCATCAGGTTTTTATCATGTGAAGCAAGCTATGAGACACACATAGTACAGTTTGCAAGTACTATATTAACTGGCAAACCATATGGCTGGCACCTCAAAATAAGATCCTTTGCTTTATCAGATATTGGAACTTCTGGAGGAAATGTCAGAGTCTCTTTCCAATTCATTACTTTCTTATATGTTTCTTGAGGAGTCTCCGAACAGAACGGTGGATAACCTGAAAAGAAATAAAAATACCATCTTGTAGAAAGCAAAAATAGTTCCTATGGTTACTGAAGTCTACACTGCACCAGAACACACCTCGCAAACCATGCAAGGAGGGGATGCTTTGAGAACCTGACCCCAAGCACATAAATCCAGCTGATGTCCTACACCCTAATCCCTGCGTAAACCTTGTGCACCGCCGGTTTCTTACCGATCAACATCTCGTACATGATGACCCCGAGTGACCACCAGTCACAAAGCTTGTTGTATCCAGTCTGCATGAAAACTTCAGGGGCAATGTAATCCGGAGTTCCCACAGTAGAAAAAGCCTGGAACAAATACCATCAGTTATGTATCTTTACAGAAAATTGCCTGATATGGAAGTGGGAACTTACGCAACAACAGTTATTTTGAGGAACACACCAGATTGTCTCTAAAATCCTTTAGCAAAGTTGTTTAAAGCCTTTATTTCAAGATATCTAGAGATAAACTCAACATGTTCATGTAGAAGTGTCTTTAAAATATCATCGGGGAAAGGTACCACTGTCTATATACACCTTGGAATGTGTCATTAGCCCTGTGTTATATTAAAAGTGGCAAGAACTGTTAGTTTTAACTGGGAGGCATCAGATATCAATGTAAGTAATTATGGCAGAGCTATCTCAGGCACATATGTCACCAGCTGTTCAGCAGATGGATGAAGGACAAGCTCGAGTCATTCCTCTTTTTCTTTTAAAAAGGATGAATCTTTTAATTTCAGCATCGTTCAGGACTCCGAAACTTATTCCTGCCTGGCATTTAACTACGTGTGCCACCTGAATGCAACAGCTCAGCAGAGAACATTTCCAAAGAGGTGAAACGTACTTACCAACTGCCGCCTGTTTCTCTTCCAAGTCTCTGCTTTCCTTTTGGAATTCATGTTCTGGAAAGCTAAAGGAGATTGGAATATACATGACCGGTCACCTAACATACACTTTTACCCCAAAACCATTACGTTAAAAAAATCTCCTTTCCAACATCAAAAAAAGGCAGCCAGGGCTGGACAGCCAGCCCACTCTGGATTCAGGTGTCCTGGGAAGAGGTTACAGTCCCCAGGTGCTCAGCACTGGCCTCTACGGCCAAAGTTTATCACCCCGGTGAAGCTGGAGCTCTTTGTGGAAGCATGCCTTAATTCACCTCGCTGAAGATAAGCCACACCACCAGAGATGAACTAGTTAACCTGCCTCAGCCCTGCCCTCCTCAGCTTAGCTGACACAGTCCAAGGGGTTGTGATCTGCGATGCAGATCCCAGTGGCCAGCAGCCTCTGGCAGGCAGTGGCACCGACACTGACAAGCAAAGCAGGGGGTATAACCTCTCCCACCAGTACAGACGGCTGCAAAAAGCACACCTGGCAATCCCCTAAACCCATCAGCAACTTCCTAACCTATGTAATATTGGTGAAATTTTACCAAGCCGTACATAAGCAATCCATGCTTTCAGGGGTTTTTTAACTCCATGATCAAAGTTATTCCCTTTGAGAAAATTACTGAATATTCAGAGACTGTGTGCTGGCTGATTAATTTAAATAACACATGATTAATTTAAATAACACAGCTAGCATCTACCAAGTCACACTGAGTTTTCATTCGAGGTTCATTACACAGGCAAAGAAGGGCTACAGCAGAGTCTGTTTCAAAGACAAACTTCTGGAAATGAAGTTTTGTACATTACAGGAACTGAAGTTACTTTTACTAAGACATTTTACAGAAAAACAAAATTACACCTCAAGATGCAATGTTGATTATTAGACCCCCTTGCGTGGCCTTCAAGCCTCACACTGAAACAAGTTATGTCAGGCACTGAGAGCAAGCACAGACACCCCTCTGAAACCAAGTAACTTACTGAAGTCACTAGGAAGACTGTGGTTCAAATTTCTATAAAATTCTGTTCTGTGAGCTTTCTTCAGTCCAGTACATAGACCAAAATCTGAGAGTTTCACGTGGCCCTAGAAACAAACAAAAAAAGAAAACCCTACTACAAAACCAGTATGAGACATTATCATAGCAAATAAACTCTTCTACTCCTTCCCCTCCCTTTATTTTGTAGATGCACTTTTTTTGCATTCCTTGTTTTAGTCTAAGACTAAATGTGTACATACAATCAAGCTATTAATACCTCTATCACTACTACACAGAGAAAGACCAGTAGTTATTTACTTCAAGGAAGCTCTGGTCCTGCAAACTCCTGACTGCTTCAGACTGAAAGCAAACATCTCCAGAGAGCACTGTAATCCCTGGATTGTGCGTTAACTCCAATAGATAAGAAGAAACACCTTAAATTCAGTGACTGGATCTGTCCTAGCACATAACATGCGACCACACTTGACTAGGAGCAATTTCTAGATGTGTATCTCAAATGTACATCCTTTTCGTGGTCCTGGATTTCTCTACATCTAGATGTAGACATACTGAGTCACACGGGAAATTCCACAAGTGCATTATTAGCTGGCTAGTGGTAAAGTGTCATTATTTACCGTTGGCAAACTTTTTCCAAACAAGCTAAATTTTAAGCAAACGTGTCGTGAGCAACAGGAGAATAGTGAAACAATCAAGCTTTCTGCAAAGTGCCTGCAATAAGCATCTAGAAGCAATGAGGTAGCCTGACCAGCCTGCAGAAACAAGTCTTGATTCTGAGGGAGATACTATCTCCATTTCCAGTCTCACTAATGGAACAGCTACATTCCTCACATTTGGTATGATCATCTACCCAAGTTTGCAAACATGAGCCTAACAGTTGTGAGAGCAAAAGGAAACATCTTTGGCTAAGAGGGGAGAACTGAAACTGTTTTAAATTGCAGCTGAAATAACCAAAAATAGCTTAAACAACTGTCAGAAAAGCTCCTAAGGGAGATATGGATACAGCTGGAGGTAGAGGCCCTTCTTGGCTTGTTTTTCTTTCCCTAGCAGATACGCCCTCAAAGCTAGAAGGAACAGGGCTAAGAAAGAAGCACCATCTTTCTTTCACAATTGTCCCTACTGGTTCAGGTCAATATTAAAAACGACAGGACTTACTACACCCCCATTCACCCAGCCACGGGCCAGCAGTCAGTACATACCTTGCTGTCCAGAAGAAGGTTGTCTGGTTTTATGTCCCGATGGATAAAACCCAGCTGATGAATAGAATCAATGGCTAGCACGGTCTCAGCTATATAAAACTGTGTCTCTTCCTCTGTTAGAGTGTCTTTTTTCATCAACAGCGTCATCATATCACCTAGAAGCAACCCCGCAAATAACAAAGGTAAATACAAGTGAACACACAACTCCACTCTCACTAATTTTGAAGACATTTATGAAGAAAAAAACTAAGCTATTTAAAACCTCAGGAAATCTATATTAATTTCAGAGAAAATAATACAGTTCCCCAGCACCTCTGTGCCAAACTTTTATATTTTCCCTTGTATGTGGAAAGGCTTGTACTGTAGTTGCATTAAACTTCCTGAGACAGCTAAATAGCATAAAGATGAGATGGCAGCATAGAAGCATCCTAAAACGAGACTCAGCTATGGACTGCCACTCTTGACTACACATCTGAACCACAGATTAAAATAGACACTTTCAGCTACCGAGCTGTTACAAAAAACAGATTGCATTTGTGCAGTGTCATCTCAGCATTCCTGTGGTTTCATCAGTCACATATATTACAGGCTTTCGGTATAACTTTCTTCTTAAGTGAATTACAGCAGCATTATCATTCAAGGACAAACATCATAAACCTCTGAAAAAAGGATCTTAAGAGGTACTCTTGCTTCAAGCCAACAAAAACAAAAGGTTAGAAGATCAAAAGCTGGTTATGGATCTATAGATAGCCAGTGCACGGTAAGGATAAAAACCAGCATTAAGGTCATTTAAGGATATATCATTAAGGATAAAAACCAGCATTAAGGTCATTTAAGCATTAAGGTCATTTAACCATCATAAGGTCATCATAAAACATTAAGGTCAAGTTTCAGACATCTGCAGCTAGAAGGCCCAAGCAGATAACCTCGAGTCTGACCCAAAGACCTCGGTACCCTAATTCCTGAAAGCAGAAAGCTTCACAATGACATTTCCTCACCAAGTAACGTCCAGTACAAACATCACTGTACTGTAACCACATGCACTCTCATCCCAGACTACATCTGTAATTAACAAGTTAGAAATCCACAAACAAAAAGGAAAGCAGCCTTTTGATTTCAGGTAGTTACCTCCAGGCAGGAACTCCATGATAAGGTAGAGGTTTAGCTTGTCCTGAAAACTATAGAACATTTTCACAACCCACAAACTGTCTGCTTCCACTAGAATGTCCCGCTCTGCACGGATATGGCCAACCTGGGGATACACATATGCATCTGGTTAATTACAAGTCTTTTATTACATGCATTTATTTCACAGACAATTCAAGTGTTATATTGAAAAGCAGCAGAAAAGCATCAAATATTGCAAAGACAGCAGTCAAGCTTCTGCACAAGGGCAGAAACACCATCAAAATTTCAATAGTTATACACCTCAATATTTTCAGATAATAAAATAGCATAACATGTTCAAAGTTAAATCCAAAAGTCATGCTTCTGACAGCAAAAAGATGAGCAGCTTTCATTAAACTGCTGTGGTTTTCCAGAATGTTGTGGGTTTGTTGTTTTTTTTTTTCTTCTATCTGGTAAAGCCCATTGAACACCAAGTCCATTTTATTCCTCAGCATGAAGATGTGAAAGACCCTTTTAAATTCAAAAGTTTCCACTGGAAAGTTTATGGGGACTTTTGCCTTTGGACATTTACACTTGAGTAACATTTATACTTATTGCATGACTTCTGCTGCCATAAACCGAGACATGCATAGGAGGGCAAGAGAGCACTAACCTCATCCTTTTAAGTAAAAACTCAAGCTAGAGAAATTTAAACCACCCTCCTGAACAACAAGGTTCCATACTGAAAGATAACTCACATTTACATTTTGATTCTTTCAATTTTGATGGCATTTGGTGCCCTTCAAATCAGAACTGTACAAGTGATATGGGACACTATGAAAACACTTATGTTAAAACCAGTAACGGACCACTCCAAAACACAATTTATTACTGTGGGAAGATTCAGGAGGAGAAACGTATGGTCAGTTATAAGAACAGGTTAATCCCATACACAAAAATTTCTCAATTTTTTACAAAAATATCTAACAATTAGATCCCTAAAATCCTAGCTCTTCTCTAAACAGTCAGCACACTCTTGGATATGGCCTCAGCCTAGTCCTGCAAGTTTAGGCCAAAGCTCTAATTTAGCAGTGCTGCATAAATCTCGTGTGTGAACACACCACTGTTTGTTTTTTTTAAAAACAAGAACTTTCAGAAATGAAAACCAGTTCCTCATTTTATGAGCACACACACATACACAGCACTTCCTAGATTTATCCCAGTGCTGAACAAGAAATTCTTTTCAGACCATTATATTCCCAGAAGTACTAACAGAGGAAAGCCTTAAAAATGTTTAACGCTGCTACTTCATGTCTTTCCAAGTCAGAATTCTAGCAGTCATATCACTTTGATATTTATATCTGATTCCACCAATCAGAACTGCAGTAAAACACAGATCCTGACATCTACACCGAATCATTTGCACATGTAACATACATCATCATAAAATGAGGAGGAGGAACATAGATACGCAGGACCATCTTCCTCTTTCCCTGGAGAAAGACAAACATAGTCCTTAGAAAAATGTTCTTCTACTTGAAAACGTGGGAGAGTTCAGAGTCCTACCTTGCTTCACACTGAAGAGCCTCTTAGAGAAGTGTTACAACTTCTTTAAGACTAAGCAAGGCATTAGAGGTTGTCTGAAACACTGTTCAGAGCATTCAGTTACATACAGTAGCCTGTAACTACTACCATAACCCTACACATATATTCCTCAACCTTTTGCATTATTGTAAGGAATGTTAAAAAAAAAAACAAAAAAACCACCCAAATACTTGAAGAGCCCACTAGAAGACAGAACCTTATGAATTCATACAAGATTCTTCTGAACCATTTCTTCCATAAAAAAAATGAAGGAAAAAACCCCAATATACTATTTTAGCTCGTAAACCTAGACCACAGATGCTTATTACGCCTCTCTACACATCACAATTACCTCCCAAAGTCATCTAAAACACAGATGGTAGCACTGCTACTCAAGGTGGCTATTCACCTGCTCTTTTTCAAGCATATCAGCTTTACGCAGTATTTTCATTGCGTAAACATGGCCCGTATCCTTCTTCTGGACAAGTCGCACCTAGGAAGTATGCAAAAATCTGAGTCAAATACAGCATTATCACCACCACTCTTGACAAATCTGGATACGAAACCCTTGGCTTCCATTTAATAAAATCATATTGGATTATAAAAACAAAAAGCATTACATAGTGCACAGTAATGGTAAACAAGTTCTGCTAATTCTGACAGATTAAATAATTTGAACGGAGTTGACACACTGAGCAATCGTTCACCCGAAGCAGGTAAGACCAAAGCCTCTTTCTCTGAAGAAGGACACCAGGAGAAGCTGCTGTGAGTGGCTCTCCAGCTCTCCCTGGCTGTAGGCCAGCCCCGGGAGGTCACAATTCAGGTACACTGCTGAACTTGTATTTACCTTACCCCTCAAATCCTTTTCAGCAGCATTCATGTTCCCTTAAAGCACATTTTGTTTTTAAACCAGCAGTTATTAGGCACAGACACAGGTACACGTGACTGTTAAGCTAAAAATCAATCTGTTGTTACAACATTTATCTTTCACTTGTATAAACTATGCAAGTATTTCACAAATACCAGTGCTGTTTAAAAATATGTTTTGTCATCTTTTTTGGGCTCACCTCTCCAAATGCTCCTCTGCCTATTACTTTTAAAGACTCAAAGTCTTCCAAACCGAGTCTTGTTCTCTTTAGGCGAAGAAACTCTGTTTCCTTTTGTGCATGTGCTGACCTCCTGATTCTTTTCTAGTGTTCAGAAAAAAAAAAAAAAAAAAAAAAAAAAAAAAAAAAACACAGTCAGAGTTCTGCAGGTGGGCTGCACAGAGATCACAGCAATTCCCAGTAAAGACCCCAGATCTCCATTTATAAATCACTTGTGTTTAACTTTTAAGATAATTGTCCCATATTCATTACCTCTTCATCTTTCAAGCCTTCTTCTTCCATCATTTGTTCTAGCTTCTTTTGTCTATAGCAGAGGCAAATTAAAAAAAAATAAAGGTTGAATCATTGTTTCTTAATCACATGTACATATCCAACACCTCTGGTCTATGCTTGCTGTGAAAAGAGGATGTAATGCCAGCAATTAACAAGTGTAAATGATATATAAGGGATACTCAGGCATGAGATTAATTTTGAAGAATCTAACATTAGAGCTTTACCATTCTAGCTTTGTCCTCTCTAATTCTGACAACCTAAACCCGCCTCGTTTCCCATCTCAATCAAGTGTATGTTTTCATTGCATATGAATGTAGATTGAGGAGATCTGGGTTCAATTCTTGTCTCTTTCTTTGAAAACTGGGCAAGTCACTCAGGGCCAGAGCCACAACAAATATTTAATCCCCAAAGTCTCACTTATTCCAGGGAGAACTGGCTACCTAAACACATCTGTGGATCTGCGTTGTAATATCTCTGCATCTCAGACTCATCATATGCAAAATGAGAAAAGTTACTTTGTATTTCCTAATACCTGAGATACTCAAAATATTTGGGAAGAGGAAACTTGTCCATACATATTCTACCCTTAAAGAATCAGAAGTATTTACAGCCTTAGTGCAAAATGATTATGTGAGGGGGAAAAAAAAAAAAAAAAAAAAAAATGAAGCAAGACTTCAGAGGGGGGATGGCTTCAGGGGACATTTGGTTACCCTCTGGGAACTTTTTCCCAACACTCATCATATTAATAGCTGGCTGGACTGGGATTGGTGGTTTGTCTGGGTTTGGGTTTGTTTTTTTTTCTTCTCTCCATGTGTGTTTTTATTGGTATAACATTACAAATGTACTAAAAAATTCCTTCTCTTTATGCAAGTCATTCTTCGCAAGATCCTCTTCCGGTCTCCTGTGCCACTACGCAGCTGCTGCAACATGATAATATTTGGGGTTATCACTTCCACTATCTGGCACATTTAAATCGTTTTGCCCTTATTTAAGTACCCAGTGAGCCCTGTCCAGTCATCTCATTTAGCACTCAAAGCAGTGACTCCAGGAGCAAGACAACTGCTGCAATATGCAGAATTAAATAGCTCAGCATGACCAAGCAACGCTGAAATTTCCCCAGATATCCTTAATAGGTCCTATCTGCACCCTAGTGTGCGTTTGTGAACATCCTTTAAACTCCAAACTGCACATCCACTGACACATCTCTTGTTAAAAAAACACACAACTTGTAAAGTCTAGTATAGTTGTTCAAACAATGTCTTGATCCTAAAGAGAAAAAACCCTGTCATTGAGGTGTGGGGGTTAGACAACAGCACTTATAATAAAAAGCAAGAGCTATGCAAAGAGAAAGAAAGGAATTAAATCAGTGATATTTTCTGTTTGGATTAGACCTCAATCTCGAATTACTGATTTGAAGCTTTGAAGAAAATATGTACTCAAGTTAGTATTTATTTCTAAATTGCTTCCTCATTTCTGCAGTTATTGTCGTTAGCAGGCATTCCTCTTGGATCTAGTTAGGTTTTTGGCAGCAAGTCTGCAAGCAAACAAACACTAAACCTTTTTGAAAATTCTGATTACAGGCTGTGTGGCAAGTTGGGAGAACATCAGAAGTCCCAGTGCTACAACTTGAGGGTATTCAGAAAATTATGAGGGTTCCAGCCAAAGGAAAGTAAAAGCAATGCTTCTCAGTAAATCGCTTGTTATATTTTGATCAATATATTTAAAGAGATTCCATAGGTTCAGCTAACTCACATACAAGAAATCAGCATTTGGTGACAGTCCTTACAGCAATCCCTCATTGTCTCTCAAAAGATTATCTTCCTTTTATCAGATGACCTGATCACACATTATATAATCCAAACAAACTGATGCTCTAGAATGAGTTTTAAATATTCCAGAGACATAAAATGGGAAGAGACAACAGGACAGACATAAGCAGGACAACCATTTGTAAACACTGGCTTTCTACTTCAGAACTGTGCTTGAATCGCCCCAAGCACATCCCAAAATCGGTTTCTACTTAATCACACAATCAAATATATGTTTTTTTAAAAAAAACTTAGTAACAGTCATATCAATTTTACAGTTGCAAGCATGTTTCAATTCATTTCAGAAGGAACTTGAAAAGCTCCAGCCTAAACTCCCGCAGGATTCAGAAAGCCAGCAGCCACCTCCAGACACTCGTGCCAAGCCCCATCCAGGTGCCCATTTCAGGAGCTGAGGTACACGCTCAGCAAAGACGGTCTATTTTTGCTTTGGCTCCAGAAAACTAAATGCAGTTAATATATATTTTTGGCTCTTACCCAGTTTGGAAAGGATGCAAGAAAGATTTTTTTTACCTCATCTCTCGCTCTTCGTGCTGCGCAATGAGATTGCTGTAGAAGTTTTCTAATGTCACCTTTGTCATCGTAACTCGCTCCTTGGTGTGGTTACTCATGGACGAGCACGGCGTTGGGCCTGTCATTGCCATGGCTATTGGGAAAGAAAAAGGGAGGAAGCCTTTAACATTTTAAATGAGAAATGACCTTCAAACAAGAGCTGAAATCAATTAAGTGATGCTGAATCACAGAGTTAAGATTCTAACAACAAACACTAAGAGCCCAATGGTCAAAACTACAAGTAGGAAAAAGTCTTACAAAATAAAAGGTACAAGTCAAACTTCCTGTTTTGAACATTTTTGATCTGAAAATAAGAGGGAAGGAAACTTAAGAAACACGATGCCTCAAAAACCACAATTTCAGGCAGTACTGCAAATGTTTATTTCTCCAAATACATTCTACCTTTCATAAATGTTAAAAATTCAGAAATATCACACTGAAACATCTAATCCAGAAGTAGTTCTTCCTATGACCCTTGCAGAAATTACTCCGTGTGTCTGTGCTGACTCTTCTGCTGTGAAATTTATCAAAATCCTGAAAGCCATCCCAATAATGGAGCAACTGAGGAGGAAGAAAAAAAGGCATTTAGTTGCTTTTAAGCACTCTCGCGTTTACTAATGCTTTCACACAGAAATCGCAAAGGACTGCTGCCTTTGAACAAGGTGTGGTTCAAAAAAAAAAAAAAAAAGCCTAGTTTTTTACATATTGGATTTTCTTAGGAAATAAATATATCGGAGTGTGCCACTTCCAAGCAGCAGCACAGCATCGGGGCATATGTGACAACCCAGCTCTACTATGTAAAATGCATTAAAATGCAAAGATTTCAAGTGTAAAACCACCTCAGTCTAGTTCTGGTCACAGCGTAACTAGCGGGAAGGTAACCAAGTTTTGCAACTGTTACTAGAAATTGCACACAAATATAGGTTAGACACACACTTCCCGTTTTTACAATGTCTGGGCACTGGCAAGATTTTACGAGTTATTCTTTTCTGTTTATGTTTTGCTAAGCTTTACAAGGAATCTTGTGCCTTTGGAAATTGTCCTCTACAGACACCGACTGTTGTGTTTGCTGCGTTTACAGGTTCGTTCACACAAAAGATAACAAACGTGGGAGCTGGTAAGAACCTCCAGCTGTATGTTTTTTGAGATGGAGCTGTTTTTCTGAGGTGGAACTCTGACTTTAGGGCAGAAGCAGCCCCGAGTGACCACGCGAGTGGCAAGAGATGGCATGGTACATCCCTGCGCGCTGGGAGCAGGTAGGTACCTGCCAGCCTTGCCTCTGGGTTTCACTTCCTAGCGAACAGAACGTGAAAATTGTCTGAAATAAGTTATAGGGGGGTTGCAGACAAAAAAAAAAAAAAAAAAAAAAAAAAAAAAAAAAAAAAAAAAAAAAAAA